CCAGGAACCCCGAGGTGTTGTCCAGCAGACATCTGAAGCGAACGGTAAAGTTGCGCTCGAGCGCAGTCTGGTCGCCGTGGAGCGCCTCCTGGAGCGTCAGCTGCGCCTGCTCCGGCGTCAGGTGGGAGTTCCACATCAATTGTCGCTGTAGCTCCTCCCGGTCCTCGGAGTGAACCAACTCGTACACGCTCTGGTGAACGATGTCGCTCTGGGGAACGAGGGGAAACAACGGGAATTAGTACGGCAGATTAGAACGACAGGTATTAGTGTAAGAACGATAGGTGTTAGTGGAAGAACGATAGGTGTTGCTGTAAGAACGACAGGCGTTAGTGTTAGAACTACACGCATTAATGTAAGAACGACAGGTATTAGAATTAGAATGACAGGTATTAGAATAAAACGACAGATATTAACGTAAGAACGACAGGTATTAGAATAAGAACGACAGGTATTAACGTAAGAACGACAGGTATTAGAATAAGAACGACAGGTATTAATGTAAGAATGACATGTATTAGAATAAGAACGACAGGTATTAATGTAAGAACGACAGGTATTAGAATAAGAACGACAGGTATTAACGTAAGAACGACAGGTATTAGAATAAGAACGACAGGTATTAATGTAAGAACGACAGGTATTAGAATAACGACAGGTATTAATGTAGGAACGACAGGTATTAATGTAAGAACGACAGGTATTAGAATAAGAACGACATGTATTAATGTAAGAACGACAGGTATTAGAATAAGAACGACAGGTATTAATGTAAGAACGACACATCAGCAGAGATTATCACTCTGCTCTGACAGTGATATATGTAAACTGATGTGTATTCCACGTGTATGTGTCTTTATACACTCACGTGACCATGTATACACACACACATGTTCACCTATACATAGCCATACACACACAGCTTAAACATACACAAACACACATCTGCACACAACCGGAGCGGCGCCAGTCTGCTAATGAATGTTGGCAAATTGAAGGTGGGTAATGAGGATAGCCTCAGGTATCCCTGGATAGCTATAGCTATCCAGGAATAATCGAGGTTATAGCTACAGCTATCCAGTAATACCTTTAGTTATCCAGGGATCCCACTCCACCCGGTATCCCACTCCACCCTATATCCCACTCCACCAGGTATCCCACTCCACTAGGCTTAATATCACTATCAACTATATCACGATGATGTGGCATCTCTTGTTCCACATTATTATTATTATAATCAAAAAGAAGCGCTAAACCACAAGGGCTATACAGCTCTCTGTTCTACAGAGTTTACAGGTGGGATAAGCCAGGATATGAAGCATCACCTTTGGTTGCTCTCGTCTGCCACAGGTGATGGTATTCTTGCCTGATTCTGGCAGTTGCACAACCTGGAGGGTGTTTTAGGTTGGTAAATCAGAGATTTGTGCAACATTTGGGTATCTGGATACTGGAAACGTTTCACCAGCTAGTGGTTTCTTCAGTCCAAGGAGGGGAAATAGTGGAAGATGAGGAGGAGAAGGAGTTTGAGGTAATCAATCTCTTCAGACTGGAGCCATTGTATTCAGACCATCAGTCTTGTGTTCAGACCATCAGTCTTGTGTTCAGACCATCAGTCTTGTGTTCAGACCATCAGTCTTGTGTTCAGACCATCAGTCTTGTGTTCAGACCATCAGTCTTGTGTTCAGACCATCAGTCTTGTGTTCAGACCATCAGTCTTGTGTTCAGACCATCACTCTTGTGTTCAGACCATCAGTCTTGTGTTCAGACCATCAGTCTTGTGTTCAGACCATCAGTCTTGTGTTCAGACCATCAGTCTTGTGTAAAGTAAAAGGACTCAAGTGAAACTAATGTCACATTTTATTGTGGCAACGTTTCGCTCTCCAGGAGTTTCATCAAGCTTGATCAAACTTATTCATCTACAAACCATCAATCTTGTGCTGGGACCATCAATCTATGGACACGTCGGTTTTCTAGACACCCAACTTTCTGAGTGGAACAGATCATGGTACATGGTACTAGTGCTCTCAGATCTCTGTGATCCTGTGTTTTTTTTTAGTCTTCCATTGTTAAAAATCAATCAAGCAATCCTAGCTGATTTAAGGACCTGCCTTATATGGACACAGGACCTGCATTATGTAAACAAAGGACCAGCCTTTTATGGGTAAAGGAACTGTCTTTTATGGGTAAAGGACCTTCCTTTTATGGGTAAAGGACCTTCCTTTTATGGGTAAAGGACCTTCCTTTTATGGGTAAAGGACCTTCCTTTCATGGGTAAAGGACTTGCCTTTCATGGGTCAGTAGGGCTGCTACCGTGTTCTTTTATTCTTACGTTCTTCATCAGAGTTATCATGGTAGCTGATTCCTATATGGGAAGGTATTCGGAGAAAATCAGTACAAAAGACTTTATCTTGGGCACTTTCCTGGCGTTTTTTATGTCTATTGTGATGTCCCTGTTGTCTGGTTTGTGAGTAAGCTTCTGTAGTGCTTTGAAGAGCAGTTGTGAAGTCACAGAAGACTGTTCTTCCTCCTGTGTTTTTAAAACATGTGTGTGATCAGCTTCAGTGCTGAAACTCACCACCCACATGTTTAGAAACTGTTATTGTCTGATGTTAATAGTCTATATACACTTTATACATTTATGTATTTAGCAGGCTGCTGCAGTTCAGCCTGTAGTCTGCTGAAATGAGCCATCAGTGTCAGCCTGGTACTCGCTAGGAAGCAAATACTTACTTGCACTGCTGTCTTAAGGAAGGGTAGATTCTCATTGTTCATAGCGAGAGTCGTGTGTGATAACCGTACAGTGGGTAGTGAGTAAGAAGAGACATCATGGTAAGGTGCAATGCATTTCATAAATATGACTCACGAAATCGTAATGACACGATTGCAAACAAACCATACCACTGGCGGGAATAGAACCCGCGATCAGAACGCGACGGTCTGGAGTTTTGAGACTCTCTGATCGCGGGTTCTATCCCTGCCCGTGGTATGTTTTTTTTCATAAATATGTTCAGTTTGACTAGATTACCATCGTTTATCTTAAGTCACTTGGTATAGAGACTATGAGCTGGTGTTGTCTAAACTCTGGCGTGTTATAGACAGGAAACAGCACATCCCTGAGGCGTGATAGAGACGTCAAATATTTAATGAAAAGTGTGCTTAAATATGTGCTATTCTTTCACATAGAGTACACAGCTCTATTACATCCCTCGTGTTTGTGATTCTGATGGATGAACATTAAAATGGTATAAAATACCGACAGGTTGTTAGGTAAGACACATATGCAACAGTTAGGTATCTTTATTTCGAAACGTTTCGCCTACACAGTAGGCTTCTTCAGTCGAGTACAGAAAAGTTGATAGAAGCAGAAGATACTTGAAGACGATGTAATCAGACCATCACCCTTGAACCTCAAAACCTCAAGGGTGATGGACTGATTACATCGTCTTCAAGTATCTTCTGCTTCTATCAACTTTTCTGTACTCGACTGAAGAAGCCTACTGTGTAGGCGAAACGTTTCGAAATAAAGATACCTAACTGTTGCATATGTGTCTTACCTAACATTCTGATGGATGTTGAAGCTCCAAGAACAAGCATCTTGTTCGTGTTGTGGATAACTCTGCAGTCTGTTTAAGTAAAGTGCGTGGAAAGTTAGTCAGGTATGAAAGACAAGTTTATAAAAGAGAGATGTGACGAACACAGGGAGAGGCGGAGTTACGAAGAATGCAAAACAGTACATAGTAACACACATGATAACTCAGTAGACAAGCTTAAGAACCCTCAATCACCACCTTCCCTTCCACTCTCCCTCCCACCTTCCTTCCCAACTTCCCTCCCATCTCCCTCCCACATCCCTCCCCTCCTCCTGCACCCGCTTCACCTCGTTACCAACTTCCTCCGACAAACCGGTTTCCCTCGCTAAATGCGCGAAAATCCATGTCAATCACGGCAGATTTGGTCGGCAATAACTACGAGAGAAGAGCCAAAATCCTTATCCTCCAGGTTATTATCCTTAATTAACCTGTAAGACTTCCGTTCATGCGTGTGTGTCTGCGTCTACACGCATGTGTGTGTGTGTGTGTGCGCGCCTCTCGTGTGCGTACGTGTACACACCTGCGTGAACACACCTGTGTGTACACACACCTGTGTGTGTACACGTGTGTTTTCAGGTTATTAACAGAGAGGGCGTGGTCGCTGGAGCAGAGTAATTACTCTCTTTATTTCACTTTTCTGTCTGTGTTCTTTATAAGTTCTGCGGAATGAACTCGTGGAAGAGTGAAGATAGTGATGACTGATCAAGGTCATTACAGGAGTAATAAGAAGAAAATAAATCCACTAGCAGTAGTAATGAAAGTTATAAATATAATAATAATAATAATAATAATAATAATAATAATAATTAATAATAATAATAATAAAAAATAATAAAATAAAATAATAAATTAATTATTATGATTATTATTTTTATTATTATTATTATTATTATTATTATTATTATTATTATTATAAGTAGTAGTAGTAGTAGTAGTAGTAGTATTTAATAGTAGCAGTAGTAGTAGTGGTGGTGGTAATACCATTATTATTTTATTATTTTTATTATTATTATTATTTTTAGATGTTTATGTTTTTTGTTGTTAACATTATTGTTATAATAATCTAATAAAATAATAATAAAAATTTAATAAAAATTTATATTAATAATAATAATAGTAATAATAGTAATAATATAATAATAATAATAATAATAACAATAATTATTATTATTATCATTATTATATTATTATTATTATTATTATTATTATTATTATTATTATTATTATTATTATATTATTATTATTATTATTTTAAAGGGGTAAACGACAAATATCAAATAAATTCGCAAGGTTAGCAAGAAGATAAATACCCAGACACAGGAACACCAGAGGAGACATGTTCATGTTTTACAAAATACTCAGAGGACTAGACATGAGCGGACAGTGAGGAGCTATTCAGTGAAAAGAGGAGCTAGGGAAGGAGGTGACTAGGAAGGAACTAAGAAGGAGTTAAGGATGCTGGGGACTAGAAAGGAACTAGGAACAGTGGGAGCTAGGAATTAACTAGGGAAGGAGGAGACAGGGAAGGAACTAGGAACTATGGGAACTAGGAAGGAACTAGGGACGGTGAGAGCTAGGAAGGTACTTGGGACGGGGGCTAGAATTGAGGGGGAGAAAGAGA